TTTTTTTGTTAATTTTTTTATTCACTTTTTGTTTTTGGGTTTATATCTTTTTATGTATATTTTTGCATGGATGTAGTTGTAAACACATCACTTGGCATTCTAAATTTAAATAATTTTAAATTGCTTTTTTAGTTGAATAATTAAAAACCCATTTTTTTTTTTTTTGTTCTTTGATTTAAATGTATAAATTTTGCATTTTTCCAAATGTTGCACTTGTAATCAGTACAATTTTTATTCATCTACCAGCTTGATTTTTTTCCCACTATTCACAGTTGCATTTTAAATTTTAACAAGAATTCTTTTAAGATTACTTTAGAAATACCATTGCCTTTTTTGCATTGAATTTTACTCAATCTATGTATAAATCTGATAAAATTATACTATGTTTCTTTTGTTTCCTTTATTTTTTTTTTTATTTCTATTGATTTTTTTTTTTCTTTTTTTCTCAGGTTCATCTTTTAAATGTCCCACTTCAGATTTGCCCCTGCTTCATAGAAATTCACTGATGTTTATTTATTGCATTGAATTTTTTCTCTCTAATCCCTTTTTTGTTGATGTTTTTTTAGCAGTGCTTTTGCGTTTTGATTTGTTTTTGAAACACCTGTTCCATCCTTTCAAGTTGCGTTTCTCTTTGCTGGAGCAGAGGCATATTGATCGCTGCAATCATGTTTCAAACCTGGAACAAACCAGTTTTCCCTTCATTGTCCTTTTGTATTTGTCTTTCACCATGCCCTTTAATTAAATTTACATTTTTTTTCTGGCGTTTTATTCAAAACATTATTTTTAGTGGTTTTTGTTGTTTTGAAATAGATGTCCTGTTTTGTTTTCAAACCAGTTTTTTTTTTTTTAACAGTTTATATTATATCTTTCAATTTTTCACACTTTCCCTTTAGGAGTTTTTTTTGTGTCCCTCTTTGTAGGAAAAACCACTGTTTTGATCATAGCATGCTTTGAACCCTTAGCCCCTACATTTGTCTTTTTTTTTTTTTTTTCCAGCAGGGTTTATTATTGCTGATAATTTTATACACTGTTTTTCATTTCGTCAAAAAATTTTTTTTGTAGGATTTGAAAAAACCACTGGTTGATCATAAAAAAAATTTTTGTTTTTTTCTCAATATTTTAGAAATTAATTTTTTACATTCTTTTATTCATTGCTTGAACAAATATTTTTTTTTTTTTTTTTCCTTTTTTTTTTTGTTTTGCATTAAAATTTTTTTTTACTGTTTTTCTCTTTTGCTGCTTTTCAAATATTTTTCTCCTTCAAAGGAGTTTCAGACTTTGATTTTCCCGTATTATTTTGTTTCCTGTTTACTAAGATGTTCTGTTTAACCCCTTCTGGTTTATGTTTTTCAATCATCTTTTTTTTGAATAAACATTCAACACAACATTTTTCCAGTTTTTGACATTTTCATCGTTTATTTTTTTCCGTTTTTTAAATTAATTTAAACTGAAATAATCGTTTCATATTTTTATGCATTTTCCTATTTTCCTCAATTTCCTGTTACTATATTCTGAATTAATAAAAATTTATTTAAAATGTCTTGATTTTTCTTTTTTGGGTATTGTTAAATTTTTCTGTATATTCTCCTGGTATTTTTGTATTTTCTTGAATATTCAGATTGATTATTTTTTGTGAGGGTCTCTTGTGTTCCTCATTTCTCTCCTTTCTTCTCTTTCTTTTTTTCGTATTCATCATTTGATTTTTTCTCCTATTTTCTCCTCCTCTCTCTCTACATCCTTCTTATTTCTGTATTCTCCTGGAGTAGTCTCCTTTTTTCTCTCCTCCTCTCATTCCCTTCTGTATTTTTAGCCTCCCTCGTCCCTATTGTTTTACTGTATTTTTTTTTCCTATCTCTCCCTTTATTTTTTCAAATTTCCCTTGACCTTTCGTATTTTAAAACTTTTTTACTCCCCTCTCTCCCTTTTTCCTCTTTTATGGTTTTCCTCCTGTATTGGATTTCGTTCATTTTTTTTTTAATATTTGTTTTCTTAGTGAGTTTTCAGAGGTTTGCTTGTTCTGTTCTTTTTGTGTGTTTGATGTGTATTTTTGTGTTTCCTCCATTATTTATTGTTTTATTTTTCGGTATGTTTCAAATTTTCATCTTTTTATTTAATTATTTATTCATGTTTTCATTTTTCATTTTTGATTTTTCAAATATTCATCGTTTGATTTTTCCGTATTTTTCATCCTCTACTTTATTTTTTCTTTCTTGTTTTTTCTTTTGATGTTGTCTTTTTGTTTAATCTTACATGTCCATGTATTTAGGTTTTTTTCTTTAACTTTTCCCATTGTTTTTTTTCTTTTTGTTTGTTTTTTTTTTCTTTGTTTATTTTGTTTTTTTCTTTTTCTTTACCATCTTGTTCATTTTCTTTCTGGAAAATTTGTCAGAACACTTTAACCTGAGTTCCCCCCCTTTTTTTTTGACTGTATTTTTTTAGAATATCATTTGATTAGATAATTAAACTTCTTTTCTCCTTCATCTTTCATTTTACTTCTTTTTTCGATTACATTTGATGGATTTATCTATTTATTTTTACAATAAATATTTTGAAAAAAATTTGGCATCTATTTCTTTTTTTAGCCACTAAAATAAGATTTTAATGAAAAGAGCTTTTCTGTTATTTAAATTTCTATTTTCAAAATTTTGGGGATTATTAACTGGGTGTTATTTTTTCATTTTTTTCGATTATTCGTTGTTTAAGAGAAGAAAAAAAAAATTATTAGTAAATAAAATTTCTGTTTTTTGGGCAGAGAATATTTTTTGAATTTTCTCTCTTCTTTCTGTGCCTTGCTTTTATTTATTTCTCCCCCTTCTTTATTTGAATTTTCCGCATTTTTCTTTTTTTGCACCTTTATTCATTTTAAATTTTCCTTTTTTCTAATCGTTATTTTTGTCTTTCATCAGTGGAATTTTTCGTTTTTAAATTGTTTTTTTTTTTTTTTTTTTTTTTAAAATATAAAAAAAATAATTTTAAAACATTTTGTTTAAAGTGAATGAATTTTTTATTCTCATTTTTTCCTAACTTTCCCCCTCAACATTGCTCACTCTTTTTCACTTTGGCAAATTGAAAATGTTGATTTTTTGGATTTATTAAGCAGTGTTTCAGTGTCTGATTGAATGGATATGAGTTGTTTGATTGTGCCCCTATATATATATCTTTTATATTTATATATATTTTATATTAACTTGGAAAAAATAAATATTTTACCTCTATGAACCTTTCAGTCTTGTCTTTGTATTTAGTCATCTGTTTGTCTCTCTCTGAGCCAACTCAAATTGAATCTTAGCTAATTCTATAAAAAATTGTTGGTTGTTTTAAATGTAGACATGAATGATTTCTTTAGAGTCACACAAAACGTATTCTATAATGTAATCTATTCAAGTAAAAGTTAGCTAAGTTTCACTATTCTTCAAACATCTGACCGCACTAAACAATTAATATTAATTATTTTATTATCAAAGAAAATATCAACTGCTTATACAAAATTATTCAAAAACATATTTTTTTTATATATATATATTTATTTCATTTTTTTTTCAACGTTTTAACATATAGCACACACACATATTTATGTTATTCACAATTTATAGTGTCTTTGTCACTGTATTTATTATTGTTTCAGCCATTTTCCTTCTCTTTTGGTCAGAATGTCAAACTGAATCCTTTCAATGTTTCAAAAGAAAGTGTAAATTATTTTATGAAAATTAAATTCAACTATGGTTTTTTGTCAAAGTGTGAGAACTGAATATATAAAAAATAAGGCAGATCATTGGCATTCATGGAAAAATATTTTAAAACATCGTCCATTGACATTTGTCTAAAACACACACACACATCACACACACACACATACACATTTATATATATATTTATATATATATATATATATATGTAATCTACATTTTATATAACAAAATCATTTTTTGCCGTGAGTGTAGGTAACATTCATTAAAAATGTTTTTTTTTTTTTTTCTAATTTTTTATAACCTTTTTATATGCTTTTTTATTTAATTTTATTTTTATTTTTCTTTTTTCCTTTTTTTTTTTTATTTTTCATTTTTCTTCTTTATTTTTTTTTTTTTTTATTATTTTTATTTTTTTTTTTATTTTTATTTTTTTTATTTTTTTAAATTCATTTTTGCAATTTTTTTTTGAATTTTTGTCAAATTTTCTTTTTGAGACATTTTTTCCCAAACGGGATGGCTACTTGGATGGGATATCACGTAATTTTTTTTTACAGTTTTTATTTACATATCAGGCCCTATTGGTGTATAGTCCGTCTGTATGTATGGTGACATTCTAGAAGTAGTTCTCAACCTTTTTTGTCCAATTTTTCTTTTTCACCATATGTTAGAATGTCATACCCCACCTTTACAAGATTGTCCGAATCAAAAGGTGCATTCCAAATCATATGTATATATTATTGAAAATCATCATTCTTTCCATATTAGTACAGATACATGGATTATATTTTACAGATTTAATGGCAAAAGAAAACGTTGATGAATTTTAGAACATGAACATATGTACAGTAATTTGTTTTTTTTTTATAACAAATTATTAAATGAATAAACTGAAACATACTTTTCTAAGCAAAAGTTCAATAGATGCCTGGGTACTGTAATTCAATTTCTTACAGAAAGTTCAATTTTCCTTTCAGTTCCTTCATTTTTTACATTCGGATAAGATTACAGTCAATGAGAAACTTGTTACCTTTCTGTCCTTCATCCTGCTTTTTTATATATATCTTGTTTGAATTTTTCCTTTTGATAACTCTTATAGATTTTGTTGATTTGTGTAATTAGATAAGCTTTTATTTTCATTGGTTAATTCAAGATATCTTGGTTTTAGTTTTCTAAGTTCTAGTTTTTTCAGTCCTCTACTTTCATTTGCCATCGGCCTCTTCGATGTCTTTGAAATTTGCTTTTATTTCTAAGATAATTTAGGATTTTAGTTTTCTAGTTTTCCTATTAGATTTTTTTAAAAAAATAATGAAAATGGAAAAATTTTCATTAATTTTAATTCTGCCTCTTCATGTCCTTGCATTTTTTTTCATTTCTCTTACCCTTTCTTCATTTTCTCCTATTCCTTCATTTTCTTTTCTTTCTTGCCACCTTTTCCTTCTGACTTTCCTTATTTTTCTTCATGTCCTTCTTTCTTTATTTCTCTTACCCTTTCTTCATTTTCCTCCTATTCCTTCATTTTTCTTTTACACTCTTTTTCTTGCCTCCTTTTTCCTTCTTTCCTTATGCCTCTTCATGTCCTTGGTTTTTTTTTTCTCTTACCCTTTCTTCATTTCCTCCTATTCCTTCAGTTTTCTTTACACTCTTTCTTGCCTCCTTTTCCCTTCTTTTTTTCCTTATGCCTCTTCATGTCCTTGTTTCTTTATTTCTCTTCCCTTTCTTCATTTTCCTCCTATTCCTTCTTTTTCTTTACACTCTTTCTTGCCTCCTTTTCCCTTCTTTCCTTTGCCTCTTCATGTCCTTGTTTCTTTATTTCTCTTACCCTTTCTTCATTTTTCCTCCTATTCCTTCAATTTTCTTTACCTCTTTCTTGCCTCCTTTTTTCCCTTCTTTCCTTATTTTTTTCTTCATGTCCTTGGTTTCTTTATTTCTCTTACCCTTTCTTCATTTTTCCTCCTATTCCTTCAATTTTCTTTACACTCTTTCTTTTTAAATTTTTCCCTTCTTTCCTTATTTTCTTCATGTCCTTGGTTTCTTTATTTCTCTTACCCTTTCTTCATTTTCCTCCTATTCCTTCAATTTTCTTTACACTCTTTCTTGCCTCCTTTTTCCCTTCTTTTCCTTATGCCTCTTCATGTCCTTGTTTTCTTTTTTTTCTCTTACCCTTTCTTCATTTTCCTCCTATTCCTTCATTTTCTTTACTTTTCAAACAAAAGAAACTCATTTTTTTTTTTCCCTTGTTTCCTTCATAAAAAATCCTTGGGCTTTTATTTCTTTAATTTCATTTTCCTCCCTAATCCTTCATTTTTCTTTTTTCTTAAAATCTTTTCTCCTTTCCTTCCTTACTTTCTTTATAAAAAAAATTTCCTTTGTTTCTTTATTTCTCTTACCCTTTCTTCATTTTTCTCCTATTCCTTCATTTTCTTTTCAAACTTTTGCCTCCCTTTTTTTCTTCATCTGCTTAAACCTTAAAATGTCCTTGGAATTCTTTATTTCTCTTCCCCTTTCTTCTTTTTCCCTTTCCTAACCTTCAAGAAGAGCTTTACACTCTTTCTTGCCTCCTTTTCCCTTTTTAATTCCTTCTTATTGTTTAAGGTTGTCCTTCTTTCTTTTTTAATTACCCTTTCTTCATTTTCCTCCTATTCCTTCATTTTTCTTTTCAACTTTTCACTCTCCTTTTTCCTTCTCTTTCCTTATTTCTCTTCATTGTCCTTGAGTTCTTTTAAAGTTCTCTTACCCTTTCTTCATTTTCCCTCCTATTCCTTCATTTTTCTTTTACTCTTTCATTCTCCTTTTTTTCTAACTTTCTTATGCCTCTTCATGTCCTTGTTTCTTTATTTCTCTTACCCTTTCTTCATTTTCCTCCCATTCCTTCAATTTTCTTTACACTTTTCTTCTTATGTCCGTTCCCCTTCTTTCTCTTCATTTCTTCTTTTTCATGTCCTTCCTTCTTTATTTCTCTTGCCCTTTCTTCATTTTCCTCCTATTCCTTCACGAATGTTACCTTTTTCTTGCCTCCTTTTCCTTTGTTTTCCTTATGCCTCTTCATGTCCTTCTTCTTTATTTCTCTTACCCTTTCTTCATTTTTCTCCACCATTCCTTCAATTTTCTTCAACTCTTTCTTCTTTCCTTTTTCCTTCTAACATTTCCCTGCCTCTTCATGTCCTTATTTCTTTATTTCTCTTTTTCTTTCTTCATTTTCTTTATTTCCCTTTAATCTAAACTCTTTCTTTTTCAATAATTTTAATTTTTCCCTCTTCCTTATATTTTATTTTCAACAATTTCTCTTAGTTCTTCATTTTCCTTTTCCTTTTCCTTCATTTTTTCTTTACACTCTTTCTTGCCTCCTTTTCCCTTCTTTCTCCTTAATGATTCATGTCCTTGAATTTTCTTTATTTCTCTTACCCTTTCTTCATTTTCCTCCCTATTCCTTCATTTTTCTTTTTTCTTTCTTGAATCTTTTCCTTTTTCTTGATTTTCTTCATTTCCTTTTTTTCTTTATTTCTCTGCAGAAATCATTTTCCCTCCTATTCCTTCAATTTTCTTTTACTTTTTCTTCCCCTTTTTCCCTTCATTTCTTCTTCCTCTTCATTTCCTTTTTCTTTTTTCTTCCCCTTTCTTCATTTCCCCTCTATTCCTTTAATTTTCTTTACCTCTTTTCTTCATTTCCTTTCCCTCTTCATTCCTTCTTCTTCTTTGTTTCTCTTCCCTTTCTTCTTTTCTTCTTTCCCCTTCTTTCTTACCTCTTTTCCTCCTTTTCCTTCTTTCCTTTTGCTCTTCATGTCCTTTTCTTCTTTTTTCTCTTACCCTTTCTTTTTTCTTTCCTTCATTTTCTCTACTTTTCTTTATTTTGTTTTTCCTTATTTTTCATTTTCCTTTTTATTTCTCATACCTTTCTTTTTCCTCTTCCCATTCATTTTCCTCCTTTCCTTCATCTGTTCTTTACATGACTCTTCATGTCCTTTTTTTTTATTTCTCTTTCTTTTCTTTCTTTTTGTCCTTTTCATTTTTTTTTTTCTTTTTTTTATCAACGTTTCCTTCTTCTCCTCATTCTCTTCTTTCCTTTTTTTCTTTCATTTTCTTTACCCTTTCTTCATTTTCCTCCTCATTCCTTCTTTTTCTCTTATTCTTCAATCCTCTTCTTTTCCTTCCTTTTCTTCATTTCTTTTTTCTTTCTTTTTTCTTCCTTTTCCATTTCCCTCTTCTCCTTCACTTTTTCTTTCTTCTTTCTTTCCTTTTTTTTCCTTCTTTCCTTTTAATGCCTTTTCTTCCTTCTTCTTTATTTTCTCTTTTTCTTTCTTTCTTTTTCCTTTTTCTCCTTTTTTTTTTTCTTCTCTTTCACCCTCCTTTTTTCCTTCATTTCCTTTGCCTCTTCATTTTGCCTTCTTTTTCTCTTTCCCTTTCTTAAATTCAAACTCCTCTTTGGAAAATTTAAAGGTTAGAATGAACTTTCTTTTTCCTTTTTTCCTTCTTCTTTTGTCCTTTGTTTCAATTCTTTTCTTCTTCATTTTCCCTTTTCCTTCATCTTTTCTTTTTTTTTCTTTAATTTTTTTCTCTCTTTTTTTTTCCTTATGTTTCTTCATTTTCCAATCTTTTATTTTTGTTTCTCTTTTTTTCTTTCTCATTTTCTTCATTCCTTTGTTTCTTTTTTTTCTTCCTGCCTTTTTTTCCTTTTCTTTTTCCCTTCTTTGTTTTCCTTTTTTCTTTATTTAACTTTCTTCATTTTTTCCTTTTCCTCCTCTTCCTTCTGTTTTCTTTCCCTCTTTTCTTTTTTTTTTCCTTCTTTCTTTATTTTTTCTTCATTCCTTTTTTCTTTATTTCTCTTCTTTTCTTCATTTTCCTTTGTTTCATTATTTCTTTTTCTTTTTTTCTTCTCTTTTCTTTTTTTTCTTTTGTTTTTTCTTTTTTTCTTTTCTTTTTTCCTTTGTTTTCTTTTTCCTTTGTTTCTTTTCCTCTTCATTTCTTTTGTTTTTTCATTTCTTTTCTCTTTTTCTTTTCTTTTTTTTTTCCTTTTTTTTCTTGTTCTTTGTTTCTTTCTTTTTTTCTTTCATTCTTTTCTTTTTTTCCTTTCTTCATTTTTCTTTTTTTTTCTTTTTCTTTTTTCTTTATTTTCTTTCTTTCTTTTTTCTTTCCTTTCATTCTTCATTCTTCTTTTTTTTTTCTTTCCTTTTTTTTTTTTTTCCTTCTTTCTTTTCTCTTTTTCTTTGTTTCTTTCTTTTTTTTTTTTCATTTCTTTTTTTTCTTTTTTGTTTCTTTTCTTTTTCCTTTCTTCTTTTTTCTTTTATTTCTTTCCTTCATTCTTTTTTTCTTTCTTTCTTTCCTCTTGTTCTTTGTTTCCTTTCTTCTTTTCTTTTTTTCTTTTTTCTTTTTTTCTTTTCTTCTTCTTTGTTTTTTTCTTTTTTTTCTTCTTTGTTTCACTTCTTTCCTTTTCTCATTTTTTTTTTCTTTTTTTCTTTCCTTTCTTTTTTTTTCCTCCTTTCTTTTCTTTCCTTCTTTCCTCTTTTTTTGTTCCTTTTCATTTCTTTTTTGTTCTTTCTTTGTTTTTTTTCTTTCTTTCCTTTTCTTTTCTTTTTCTTTGTTTCTTTCTCTTCATTCTTTTTTCTTTTTTTCTTTCCTTTCTTCTTTTTTCTTTATTTCTTTCCTCTCATTCTTTGTTTCTTCTTTCTTTCCTCCTCTCATTCTTTTTTCCTTTTCTTTTCTTCATTTTTTCTTTTTTTTGTTTCTCTTTTCTTTCCTTTCTTTTTTGTTTCTTCTTTTCCTTCTTCCAATTCTTGTTTTTCTTTATTTCTTTTTTCATTCTTTTTTTTATTTCAATCCTCTTTCTTTTTTCTTTTTTCTTTCCTCTCATTCTTTGTTTCTTTATTTCTTTTTTTTTTTTTCTTTCTTTTTCTTTTTCTCTTCTTTTTCCTTTTTTTTCTCATTCTTTTTTTCTTTCTTTCTTTCCTCTTTATCTTTGTTTCTTTTCTTTCCTCTTCCTTCTTTGTTTCTTTATTTCTTTCCTCTCATTTTCTTTCTTTTATTTTCCTTCCTCTTCATTCTTTGTTTCTTTATTTCTTTCCTCTTTCTTTGTTTCTTTTGTTTCTTTTCTCTTGTTTCTTTTTCTTTTTTTTTTTTGTTTTTCTTTTTTCTTTAATTCTTTCCTCTTTTTTTTTTTCTTTTTCTTTCTTTCCTCTTTCTTTTTTCTTTTTCTTTCCTCTTTCTTTGTTTTTTATTTCTTTCCTCATTTCTTTTTTCTTTGTTTCTTTCCTTCTTTCTTTTTTTCTTTGTTTTTTTTTTTTTCTTTCCTTTTTTCTTCTTCTTTTTGTTTCTTTCCTTTCATTCTTTTTTTTTGTTTCTTTTTTTTTTCCTCTTGTTCTTTTTTTTTTTTTTTCTTCAAAATCTTGTTCTTTGTTTCTTTTTCTTTTTCATTCTTTTTTCTTTTATTTTTTCCTTCATTCTTTTTTTTTCTTCTTTCCTCTTTCTTTTTTTCTTTTTCCCTCTTGTTTTTTTTTTTCTTTCTTTCCTTCTTTCTTTCTTTTTTTTTCCTTTCTTTCTTTTTCTTTGTTTCTTTCCTTTCCTCTTGTTTTTTTTTCTTTATTTCTTTCCTTTGTTTTTGTTTCTTTATTTCTTTTCTCTTTTCTTTGTTTTTTTTTTTTCTTTTTTCTTTGTTTCTTTCTTTTTTTCCTTTTTCTTTGTTTTTTTTTTCCTTCTTTTCATTCTTTTTTTTTTCTTTCCTCTTTTCTTTTTTCTTTTTTTTTTTTTCTTTCTTTTTTTTTTCTTTTTCCTTTCTTTTTTTTTCTTTCCTCTTCTTCTTTGTTTCTTTTGTTTCTTTCCTCTCTTCTTTCTTTTTTTTTCTTTTCTTTTCTTTTTTCCTTTCTTTCCTTTGTTTCTTTGTTTCTTTTATTTCTTTCCTCTCATTCTTTGTTTTTTTTTTTCCTTTCTTTTTTTTTTTTCTTTCTTTTTTTTTTTTCTTTTTTCTTTCCTCTCATTCTTTTTTGTTTTTTTTTCTTTCCTTTTCTTCTTTTTCTTCTTTTCCTTCTTTTCTCTCATTCTTTTCATTCTTTTTTCTTTCCTTTTGTTTCTTTTTTCTTTATTTCTTTCCTTTCTTTTTTTTTCTTTATTTCTTTTTTCTTTTCTTTGTTTCTTTCTTTCTTTCCTCTCATTCTTTGTTTCTTTTTTTCTTTCCTCTCATTCTTTTTTTTTTTGTTTCAATCCTCTTGTTCTTTTTGTTTCTTTTTATTTCTTTCCTTCATTCTTTGTTTCTTTTTTTTTCTTTCCTCTTTTGTTTCTTTTTCTTTCCTCTTTCTTTTTTTTTGTTTTTCCTTTGTTCTTTTTTTCTTTTTTCTTTTTCTCATTCTTTTTTTTCTTTTTTTCTTTCCTTTTCCTTTCTTTTTTTTTCTTTCTTTCTTTCCTCTCATTCTTTTTTTTTTTTTTTTCCTCTTTTTTTTCTTTTCTTTCTTTTTCTTTCTTTTTTTTTTCTTTTTTTTTTTTTC